AATGGCAGTATAATATAACAGTGGGTACAGATTGATGCTACGTCTCGCTCTCTCTCACACCAACACACAGCCATGTTGATCTTAGTGGTAAGTGAGTGATCCATGTGAGTGCAGCCATAGTTAATGTGGTAATGATATTTCCACTCAGGGCCCAGCGGTGCTTGGCTCCATCTGCACCAGTTAGCTGCTCTAATTTTAGCCCCGGCGGTCCGAGGGCGGCGGTGAGAGCCGGGTGCCATGGCTCATTTAGACACAGGCTTAATGGAAGAACATCTTTCTCTCGCACACACGGACATGCAAACTTTGATCGATTACGCGCACACGCGTGCATGTGTGTGTGGACTGAGTGTGTGTGTGTGTGTGAACGAGCGTGGAGGAAATATAAATGCGTTTAGCCGTACGTTCAACAACACGTGTTCTGATGGGCGAAAATGGAAAAGAAAAACAAACAAACAAAAACAAACAAGGAATGCAAGTAAGCTGCTGTTTGAGGTTATTGAGACATTTGGTTTTTCAGAACTAGATACCTGATTTAAAATCTTAAAGAAATTATTTGTTCACAAAGTAAAAAAAAAGAAGAAAAAAAAGAATCAAGCCTGTTCTGGTCTGGATGCTGGAGGATGCTGAGGCAAGTCATTTAGGAAAGACGGTGAGAGAAGTAGTTTTATTTAATTCTCACTCACTGAGCTGAATATAAATATATATATCATGAAATTTTACATTTCTGCCTTCAGTTTCATTTGATTCCGTTTGACTCAAACTTTAATACTCAGGCATGCTAACGGCTACGTGAAGCCGCACTCAGGCACAGCAGGGCCTTTGAACTGACAGCTAATGTGGGCATGCTCACGGTGGTGCATTCTCTCCACTTCTAAAGCGTATTTAACCCCGGCTACAAGCCCTTCTGCAAAGTGCTTTACGATGTGTTTCTCATTCACACACTCACACAGCTGCCATGCAATCTGATCGCCTGCCATCAGAGGCAGACTGAGGTTCATTGTCTTGCCCTTTAGCAAGTGGATGGGGGTCAAACCGCCAACTTCGCGATTAGGAGGCAACCCGCTGTCCAACCAGACCCACAGCTGCCTTAATAACATGCTGATATTTGACCAGCAGTTATGTATTTTCTAATGTTTTGACTTGAATGTTTTAATGTTTGCGATCGTGACATGAATGTTTGTACCAAAAGTCAGAGCAATCCATCCAAAAGCTGCCGACCGACCCAAAAGTGTGAATCTTACGGTGGTGCTGGATTACCAAAGTTACTAGGATTGATCCTCTGGGGAGCCTGAATATCTGTTACATGTGTAATTGCAGTCCATGTAGTAGTTGCTGAGATATATCAGTTTGCACTACATTGATAGACCGCCCTGCTGATGCTGCCGCGCGGCTAACGAAAGGAAAACAGCATCGATTACTAGACGCAAGCAAAACCTCCCGCTGAAAAAAAAGTATTTTAAAGCCTCTAAAAAGAAAAAAAATAATCCAAAAAGGATAAAGTGTTCCCATTTTATTTGACAAAACAAACGCCTGCATGAGCGAAATAAATTCAACTGAAAAATACAAAATCTGCTGTAATTTTTTTTTTTTGGTCTGAAAGTGGTGAATTTAAATGTGTTTCTAACTGTAGAGTGTCAGAAATATAAATATATGTGATGACAGGAGTGAGTGTTACCCTTTCATCAGTTTCATTTTGTTTTATTTTGTTCCCCCGCTTCTGGTCAAAAGCAATCTGGATTTTCAAAACTGCTGCTTTTTTTGTGTTTCTCTGCTGCGTGAGAAGCTGCTAGACGGCGTTTTGATGAACAATGATGTTGTTTTTTTTTTTTTACCCCTTTAGATGCTGCATAATGAGAAGAAGACTCTGGAGGCTTCCCAGACAGCCACTCTGCTTCTGCTGCTTCAAAGCACATGGGTATTATTGTGTTTTTGTGTGTGTGTGTGTGTGCTTGTGCAGCTGTCTGAAAGTCACCACGGACGAAAATAACTCGGTGTCCTTTTATGTCACAGCTCAATTCCTCTTATGTGCAGCATCACTTGGTTTCCCTTCACACACACACACACAGAACACACAGTCAGTCAATCAAAGGGTCAATAAAGGGTCACCTTTGCTTACCTGGTCTCCCGGGTGACGAGGAAGAAGCTGTCATCGGGGGCATCGATCCAGTTGGGGCGTCTCTTGCGGATCATCACTCCACCCCGGGTGTTGCCGCTGCTGCTGCTGCGCCCGTTGTGCTGCAGAAACACGATTAAAGATCGTTTTATTACGACGGGCAGCGACGCAGCCGCAGAGGATCCGTGATAAAACAAGTAGGAGACACCTACCATGAGAGGTCCACCTGTTGTACCTGGGTTCTCTGCGAAAACAAAGCCACAGCAGTGAGAGAGAGATGCAAAGTGCGCATGAGGGAATCGGTCACTCGTGAATGGTATTGATTAGTTTATTGCTTTTCCTAGTTTACAAGTGGTGCAAACAAAATGACTGTGTTTCAATTTCAGTAGAAATAGTGAAGTTACCAATAAAAAACAAAGAGTCAGACTGAAGTTGAATCATCCAAATTATCCAAATGACCCCCATCTGCTGATTCGTTTTCATTAGAATTAGTTGTCATTCTCTCCAACGAGCTAGTTTAGATAAGAAATGGCAGAAAAGGTTATCAACTCCGGGTGTGTTTCCACTAATCTGAAGCAAAAGGATAACAAAAAACATTGGATATCAACAGTGGTTGGTCCCCAAGGTTAGCTCACATCATAGGAAACGTATTTAAAACAAACAGGGGAGGCATCTTCCAATTTATATTTAGTGGGTTTTTTTGGGAAGGGGGGAGATTTAACAGAAAAACTGTCTGCTTGTGGGCAGGATTAAATAAAGCAATAACAGTGGTATTGGACAACAAGTCATAATCACTTTTGTGGAATTAGTTCAGCTTTCGTTTTTTTCCCTAACAGGAGAGATGTGTGCGTGTACCTGAGCGCCTGTCCGGCTCGGCCCTGCTGTGGTGATGGTAGCTGCGTTTTCCCAGCATGCCGTGGGGGCCGTGGGGGAGGGAGGAGAGGAGGCGTCGCGGGGGAGGCGTCTGCAGGCCCGGGGTGCGGTGGGAGCGAGGGGCGTGGGCCGCCGGACGGGACTCTGTGGGGAGACACCACACTGGAAGCTGCATGAACTGGCTCCTACACAGCACCTCATGTTTTATTGATTCGTTCAGCAAAAAACACCGGAGGAATCTGATTATCCGACGCCCGACCCTGTGTCTGTGTGTGTGTGTGTGTGTTGATTTTACCTAGAAACTGCAGAACACTGGTCAGAGTGCTCCTTTGGGCGGCTCTGGTTTTGGGTAGGCGAGTCCCCTGCCCTTCGGACACCCTTAACATGTCTAAACCAAACACAGAAACTGGTGTCAGTCAGCGCAGCGTCTCTGGGCCTGCACAAACTCCCCTCCGCTCGAAGATTAAAAAGATTTGAACAAGAATATAGAGATGAAAAATGACCTGTTCTGGTGTGAATGAATGCAGAGAAACATCACGGGATGCAGGAGTCAATGTGGTGACTTGCTTTCAGGGATGGCATGACCGCTAAAAAATAAAAAAAATAAAAAAACACACACAACCTCCCCTTTCCATCCCCATCCCCACCCCGCCACGTGCACATACAGATGTCAGTACATGCTTACATGCACTCCAAACAACACATACATCAAAATATGAATGACAGCAGGCACCGAGTCCATGCTTGAGAGGTGGGGAGGGGAGGGGAGGGAGGGTGCCGCCGCCGCCGCCACCGCCGCCACTTCTCCGAGTGTGGTGGAGTTGATGGACAGATAACACGGACACATGAAGCACAAGGACTCGGAAGAGATGCTTTCAAGGTGTGACTTTATTTGAGGTCTACTCTCACATTCACACAGTAATGAAAGAAAAAAGAGCAAAAAAGAGGTAGAGGATGAGATGAGAATATTGCAACAGTCAGTAGAAAATGAAGGATGACGAGGCGAACCGGAGGAAAAAGGGGGAAGAAATGAATGGCAAATCCCGTCCGCGGCAGGATTTACGAGACAGAAGGGGATGGGGTGGGGGGGCGAACACGATGAGTTCATATGAATATTGCATGATTGGAACACAGGAAATAAAGCTGAGCGAATGGTATGCCGAGGACTCCTCACGGGTGAGCCTGATCTAGTGTGGGCGACGCGGCCAGCAGCAAAGAAGAGCAGCTACATGGTTTGTTTTTTTTTGACAATCAAGTCTCCTCCTCACCTCCCTCCTTTCAAGTTTCAGCAGTTCAAATCTTGTCTAAAGCTCACAATCAGTTCATGTTGTCTGATGCACTCACAGAAACACACAGAATGAGGAGAAAAAAATAAAAATAAGCAGAAGAAACAAAAAAAAAAAAAGGCGATGGCAAACACGCTAAAGCTGAGGTTCAGTATTTACAATGAACATTTGCGGCTGAGACAACTGGCTCAGTCGTGACAGCACAGTGGGCGAACCTTCAGCAGGGGCGCCGTGCAAAATAGAGCTTCTCTTAGTAAAATACATTTTCTCTACGTCTAACTTCAGCAAATATACGGCTCAGACTGGAATATAACCTCTATCGGATGCTGTTACAATCTACTTGTTAATGACAGGAGCAGGTTCTGTTAATTACGTGTGTGTTTGCAGGCGTGTGTGTGTGTGTGTGTGTGTGTGTGTGTGTGTGGAAGAGCCCTGTTTCATCTGTGTGTATAATTTCAACAATGGCTTTGAGTTCACAGTGACCAAAAACTACAACAGATAAAATTATTTTTAAAAAAACTAAAAAAACAAAAAACACGAATGAAAAGATGATCAGAACTCATAGTTATGAGGACAGGCAGTCTTTATTGGAAACAGGGGGTGGGAGAATACAAAAAACAAAATAATAATAATAACAATAATAATAAAAACAGAAAGAGAGACAGACGGGGGGAGGGGGAGGAGGGGGGGCAGAGGCGGGCAGAGATGGGGGTTGATGGCGGGGCAGTCGGGGTGAGGACAGGTGAGGGGTGGTGAGTGTGTGTGTGTGTGTGTGTGTTGCTGTGTTTTGTCTGCAGATGTGTGTTGTGTGTGCGTCCATGTGGCAGAAGTTAGGAGGAATTGAAAGAGCTCTTACACTCTGCCTTTATGGCCCCACAGTTAATGGGGACAAAGGGCCGGCGCGCAGCGCGGCGCAGCCTGATGATGTCACGGCACATGTGCCGGGCCAGCTTGGTGAGGCGGGTGGCCTGCAGCAGGAAGGCCTGCTTGGTCTTCATGGAGGACTTGGGGCTGCCGCTGTTTCGCATCGGCACCATGTGGTTGGACTGGCGAGGAGCGTGACCCCGTGAGCGAGACTCCTGAGAATCGAAGGAGGGACAGAAAAAGGCGATGAACAGCTGAACTGCTGACAGAATATTTAAAAATAAACGCCGCTGAGGCTCAAAGTCCCACTTCAATTCCAGGCTGTCTGTGTCTGGTCCACCAGCCTCCGTGTCGATGTGTTTAATACGGAGAGTACGCTCACGTCAAAGGCTCGCAGGGAACAGTCTGAAGGCTTCAGAAGATTACTTTGCTTCACAAAACGACAGCATATTCAAATGGTAGTTTTCTCTTTAAATGCTCTGTAGGACATAATCCACTGGCAGGTTTAACAGGCTTCTTATTTAACAGAAACACACCAAACATGCATCATTTATCACAGAAGGAAACAGAAAGAACGGTCTGATTTCCAACTTTCTGACAGTCCTTGAACTAATCTGACTTTCACTTTCGTTGGGTAAAATAACCAAACCTAAGCTAAAAATTGGGATGTTTAATCAAAAATCACTATTCTTAGTGTCTCGTTTAAAGAAAATTACCATTTGCAGAGTCCAGATTCTGTGTTTTAATAAAAAAAAAGGGGAATTCTGCACATTCAGAAGCCGTCGGTGATTCTGCTGCAGCCAGCGGTCGTGACAAAGTCTGGAAACAAATCAAAACTGTGAGCGCTGAAGTATCTATAGTCTGCAGAGCCACAATTTTCTTCTTCCGAGTATCGATAACCCCTGAGGGCACTTGGAAAAAGATTGTCAAGGTTTTTTTTTAATAAAATTCAACTTGGGCTTTAACTTTTTATTTTTTATGATTTATGGCGCTCTAACTTTGTTAAACTGCACCGAGTACATTCTGAAGTTCTCTCTACTTCTAGCCACGGTTGTGCCGTTTCCACTGAGTGTTGCTCAGAGTAAAGAAAAATGAGGTTACATACAGATCCAAAACTAATCAACGGAGCAATAAACGCTACCTTTGGAAAGGTTGTAATGGTCAGCTGTTGTCGAAACTACTTTACAGAGGAGTTGATTTAACTCATCAGCCACTGTGGGGGCGGCAGTTTGCTGAACTGTATTGTGTAAGACAACGAGGTGATTTTAATATTTTGTCCACCTCGTTTACGCCTTTGAGGATGATTACAGCTTCCAAAACAACCATAAAGTTGAAGCAGCACCCTTTTAAAAGCGGTTTCAATAAAAACGGAACATTAAAACCCTCATGAGGGGAGTATTTACTGCAGGGCTGCCGGACTAAGGGTGTACTGTGGCGTACAGGCCGACCTTTCCACGTGTCACAGTTCGTAAAGCTCGATTTATAACGATTGGTAAAGGCTGCATCCCAGCTCCTCCGCATATCATTACGTATAACAAACACTTTACGCTCATTGGTTTCAGAGTTCGGTTAACATTAGGATGATAAAAGGATAAATACGGTCACCGGGTTGGTTTGGTGTTTGAAAGTTATGAGAAAACAAAGGACAAATCTTGAGACAACACCTTCCAAGTTTTCTCACTTGAAAAGAAGTCGACACAGTCAAAGAGGAGTGTGTGTAAATTTATTAACAGCTAATAAGCGAGCTCGAGGACGGGATATTGTGAGCGCGATGAATAATTGATGGCGGCGGCGCGAGACATCACTTACATATTGCGGATGTTACATTTTACAGCCCCGGAGTCGTGCAAATTTAGCTTCTGCTTTACAAAGTCGTTTCTAACGCAAATGCATCCTGTTCACCAGCACGACTGCTTTGTCTGTCAGTCATCTCTTGACTTCTAACATTTAAACATGTTCTGGTTTCATCCCATTCAGTCCTCTCTACTGCCTGAACTTACGTTGCTTGCTGGACTGGGGGAGGTCCTCTCCTCCGGGCCCTCGGCTCTGCTCGGCATCTTCAGGCCGCCGTACTTCTTCCAGTACATCCAGCAGGAAACGCACAGGCGGCACTGCATGTTTGGAGGCCCCCATGAGTACCACTGGGCCGACTGCATGGCTGTTAATGTACAAAATGCATTAACGCTTGTTAGGAGAGATTGCAGAGGAGAACTGGTCTCAAGGCACTCAGAAAATCGATCTCTTCTCCACTGTCCCCTGTTTCTCCCTCAACGAATTTATCAATATTCATACTGCAGAAGGACTCGCACACTGGATGCCTGCTGCTGACTATCAAGTAAAAAACATCTGTCCACACAGGTACACGGACAGGTGGGAGGATTAATGACAATGTGACGGATGGAGATTTAGATTTAGCTGGTTGTAATTACATCCTAAACCTTATTAAATCCCACTTCCAGTTTTTAGCGCCGTTTGGCAAAGCGCAAGCAAAAATTTATTGATTCACTGCCACGATTTTTTACATATTCTATGATTTGCATTCTGGCAGCTCAGAGCGGTTGCAGTTAAGCGTCGACTAAAACAAACAGCGGCGTTATTTGCATGTTGCTGGAGCCAACACTCCTCGGTGCATTCGGTTTAAATAGACCACCGATTGGTGAGTTTAGGGTACGAAATATGAGGTGCAGGAAGAATTTGTTCATCAAGTTGCCTGAACAGAACAGAACAGAACAGAACAGAACAGAATCTATCTATCCATCTATCCATCTGTAGCATAATGGGTTCAGGGTCTACCTTCATAAACCGACATGCAGACACAGGCACATATTTACAGTATTCCTAGTTCTTTTCCTTTTTTTTTTTCAAGGTATATTTTCAGACATTTTTCACCTTTATTCTCAGTTGCACTGAATAGAAGTAAAAGAAATGCAGTGCAAATGAAGTGCGGAGGAATGACAGCAGACGGTTTCTGGCTGAGATGTGAACCACTGCTCATGGCATACGGGCCCGTGTGGTCCTACTGCCCAACTATGAAACACCTCAAGTTTAAATTGAGGAACAGCTCTTGTCACCCGATTGAGAACAAAATAAAAGGGAGATACTGATCAAGGAAAGCATCTTTTCTAGAGTCAGAAAAACAAAACAGTCCACTAGAATCCCTCAGCTGACCAGCACATCGTTTCTCTCCCCGTCCTCCACTGCCCCGGCGATTTAATTTCACACCTGTCCTGCTTTACTCGCTCGCTCACAAACAGAACTCACTGTAGCAGCTCTCGCAGGCTCTGCCCCCGCCCGCTGCATGGTAGGCCCCGGGGCCCGCTCCGTTCACTGTCGCCATCTTGCCATTGGTCATTGAGATCTGGTTGGGGTTGGGTTTGTTACTGTCGGAGAGGAGGAGAAGCAATTTAAAAGACAGAATGACTGCAGCCGTCCTCTGCAGTGCTTTAAATTAGAACACACTGACAACGATGATGGTGCCACTACAGGAGCAGTAATAAAGTCTACATCTGAATAATGAAGTATGGAACGAGGAGACTTACTATGTGGGGATATAAACCTGCTTCAGTTTGCTTTCTGCCTCTGCTGCCTTCAGTCTCTTCTGCTCGCGGGGAAACACAGCGGATTCATTCGTTAACAACACAATAAAACATCATCCTCTTGGACAATTTGAAACCTTTTAAAATCGAAATTAGGCTTATACGATTACAAATATAATCATTTATTGTGCGTTTCAAGAGGTGGGGTTTCCTCTCTTTAGTTTGCGTCAGAGTACAAAAAGCGGATTTATCTCAGGAGACGTGAGAAATCCTCTGACACAAAAGGCTAATCCACGATCACATCAGTATGTTGGGAAACCAGTTCATGAGGTGATATCTGTGCTATACTTTAGGTTAATGCTCTCATCCCGACCAACTTCTACGCCCTTACTTTGGCTCTTTTTTTGACACCTTTCCTGCAACCAAACTCCCCGTAAGTGTACCTTTAAACAGACACGACACTAATTTCACACATCGAGGGCAGCTAACGCGCCACTCGGCCTGTAAACAGCTGTATAATATTGTTTGCGGCTGCGGAAGGAAGGAGGCTTTCCAAAGTCTTCAAATCTTGGGCTGGACGCGCAATTACATTTTTGACAGAAAATCTGCAGCGCAGTTAAGAGGTTTAGAGTTTCAAAGATCTTATCACATGTCAGCTCTAATGACAACGGCAATCGCATTAAAAATGTTAACATCCAGCATTTTTAAGCCTCACTCACATGGACCAACATTTGGTAATTCTTTAATGGATTTGAAAAAATTAAATTTGAGGTATTTGCTTTGCAGTAGCCAATCAAACTACAGCAGAAGATGTGGAGGAAAAGAACAGAAGTATGGGATATGTTTGTAGGCATAACAAACAAATACGTAACGACGAAATAACTTTACAAATCTATTGAGTTTTAAACATTTCTATTTAAGCAGCCCAAAAGGCCCCCTGTGGAGTTTGTCCTCTATGGAGTTGTTATGAGCGGGTCCTGGTTTCGTACGTTCTCGTATAAATGTGAAGAAAAGGCTCTTTAGTTGCATAACAACAGATGCAAACAGAAATGCCACAGGGCCACTTTAAGCTGTTAAACACTGTCAGACTGCCCACATCGCAGCCGAAGGCGACAGCAGCGGATAATTTATTGTTTTACTGCAGTACGCTCACCTGTTGCACATATCTGTCTGTGGTCTTCCACATGTAGTAGTACTCTATGATACTGGTCAGAGACTTCCATGGCAGCTTCAAAAGAGTAGAATGTGGAGCGAGATGGAGGGGTGGGGGAGAGAGAGAAGGAAGACAGAGAGCAAATTAATGATATTAATATCTCATGTTCTTGCCATCTGGGTGTGAAGCCTTCATGTATATTCATGAGCGAGAGGCATCGTGACCACAGAGGCTGAGAGCTACTGGCTTTGCTTGGTTCTGGCCCCAGACGAAAACACACTCCCTTGCACAGACAGTGATTCACACATTTAATAAGTATTCATGAGCACCTGGTGCCACCGCATACACCCATATCCCGGCTTTATTGCACCGTATAGGTAGATGGTAGGGAAGGGAAGTTCAAAAGAATCAAACCCTCACTCCTCCCTCTTTCATAGGCCTGAAAGGCGAGTGTTGAAATTGGTAGTCTCGTCCTTCACAGAACAGAACAGCAGCTGCGATCGACTTGAATTAATGCCGATTGCTAATTTGGATTCCTATTGTGACAGATTTTCGCTGAAGAGGAAGGAAGCGTCTGCAGAAACTTTTCAAATCTCTCCACCAGCAAAAGCCAAAACTCGCCACTGTTCATCAGTATGCTAAACAAGTTCTGTTTTTCATTACAATAGACCGCAGCCTGCACAGCCAGCAGCTCATTTTGTCTCTCACCTTGTAAAATGTTAGGGGGGGAAAAAAAAGAAGCGCTATACAAAAACTAAATATTTAAACAGTATTATTTCTGTATCAGTCTTCATTTATTCAAATCATCTTGGCACACTTGGATGTTGCAGATGACTGACATCCCCACAAGCGAGAGCGCAGCTACGCAGAAACACTCACAAAGTCTTGTCGGATGTCGTTGAAGTCTTTCCCATATTTCTCTAGTGCCTCTTCAAACATGGCCGCTTCCGAGGCGCTCCACTCCTCCATCTCATCCCTGCAGAGCACTGGGCCGCCCGCTGGGACCAGTACACTCAGCGCGCTGGACAGATCGTAATTATGACGATGCAGCGTGTCCATCGCGTGGAACTGCGAGCAAACGACACAGAAAAGAGGGGTTACGATCCATCATTTAAATGCCAATTAGGCGCGGCGGGACGAGCGTGCGCCCGACTCACCAGTGTGATATCTCGCGAGGCTGCGGCTGCACTCATGTGTAAGCTCGGCTGTCTGACTGAGCTGCTGCAGTCCAACGCTCGGGCAAAGGTCCCCACCGCCCTGAGAAAACACACACACACAAGCATAAACAGTAAATAAACACAACATATAGGACTACACTGCTACATACAGCTAATCAGAGGAGGCCCATGTTTAAAGTTCTGGGAGGAAAAAATGTCCTGATGGTGCAAAAAAATACCCCAAAATAAATAGTTGTTTATTATTATTATAAAAGCAATTATAGTGATTTAAACACAAAACTTTGCACGATCAATTTTTAATTCATTTTCATTCATTATTTATAAACAAAAACTGGGATAAATTCACATCCTGACTCAATAAAAGTGAGAATAATGAGCCTTCCTCATGAGTTACAGCAATGTGCATTTATTATGTGTAACAGACAAAGCAAGAGGGGTCATAAAGTGTCAAAACTATTCTATTCTATTGTCATTATCGGTATTAAACTGCACGTTTTGATCAGTGTGGATGTCGAAGGTGACCTACCGCGCCACCACTAGGAATTGGTCTATCTGTTTGTTGGTAAGTGGACACTCTGGATCCCACAGCTTCTCTTCTAGTTTGGCCTGGTCCCGGTCATCTGCTTCACCTGCAAGACACGACGACGACGCCGTCAGCTAGCAGACAGGCACGAGAACGTAACCGCACACTGAAGGCGAAGAAACCAATTTGATTTTCCACAAGCGAAGTTCATGGTTACAAACCCGTGAAATTACCCGGAAATTACCCACAAAACGTTCAAAGAAACCGCTCGCGACAAGATTGCACAAGAAAGAATACATTCGCCTTTGTTTCAGAGAAATGGGTTATTTAACAGAACCAAGCTTCATCTGCCATTAACGGTCCGATGTACCTTCTTGTAACATTTCAGGCACGTCTGCCTGAAAGCGCGGCCCCACTCTGATCTCTCCTTTGTCGGCCAGGAGAGTCTTCTGCGTCGGGTCGTACACCAGCGAGTAGAAGAAGGTATCCTGGAGAAACGGACACATCAGTGATCCACATCGAGGACAAAGGGTTCTCACGCCGGCTCCGATGTCAGACTGAGTTTCTCGATTGTACATTTGAACTTTAAATAGGAATCAATTTGAACGTTTGCTGAGAAACTCTGCTGGTATACCTATAATCTGTTATGACAGATAAAACAATCCACGCTGGAATATCTGCTCGTCAGCTATATTTTAAACAGTAAGAATTTGTAAATAAAAACAAGAGCACAATGTGTCTTCTCCAGAGTCGAGAGGAATAGTCAACAGTCAGTGGAGGAAAAAAGAAAAAACGCAACTATTTTCATCATTTTGAACCAGTTTCGGTCATTTTTAAGCAAAAATGTCCTGTTACCATCTGATCCCAGATCATCAAATGTACAGATTTGCTGATTTTTTGTCTTACGTAATAATCAACTGTTAAAACATTTTTATTCTTTAGATGTTAGTTTAACATATAAACCAATTTGGCACCATCATCTTAGGCATTAACCTGCACTGCACAACAAATAATAATCAGCTAATCAGTTGACAATAAATCAGTTGCAGTTCTTCTCAGTATTTTTTTTAAATATCTGAAATATAGTTGCTTCAGTTGCCCTTTGTGCACCTCTCGATTTGATAAAAATGTGTCTGAAAACACACATTTACTTTGCTATGATGGGTTACTGAATGTAGAATAATGGGGAAAATATCAATTTTATTCATTTAATATAAAATCTACAACACAATTAAGGTGGAGAAAAAGGATTCAATACTTTCTAAGGCCGCTCCATTAAAAAGCATGTAAAATATTGTGAATGCACCTTCTGTAATGAAGGCCTGAGCGAACACAAACCTGCGACAGACATCAGATTTTCTTCTCTCGGGCTTACCTCTTTGTCAAGGTATGAAAGAACGGCTTCAGTCTCGTTCAATAATGCGACACTGCACTTCCCCCTAATGGAGAGAGAGCGAGAGAGAGAGAGAGAGAGAGAGGGAATCACGCACCATGTAAAACACAGACAAACCAAGTCAACAGTGCTTGATGGATGTGTTTGTGGCTGAATGAGTGGCCATCCATGGGCACTGCCTGCAGATGATGATCTGTAAGGTCCGCTTCGTGGCTCCGTACCTGATATGTGTCGCTGGTAGACTCTCATACTGCCGGGAGAGGAAGAGCTCTCTGTGGCGAAGCTGGTGTTTCTGTTTTTCTGTTAGCTCTGTCTCTGTTGGGTTCTCCTTCTCCTCTTCCAACTCCTCTGCAAAAGGCAAGACGACATCAGAGATCACATTAAAAGAAACACTGGCGTTGATGCATCACTCGTGACGGATAGATTACCTCCCGACATATTTTCAAAGTCACAAATTCACCCATTTATCACTTCGGATGTGGTGTCCTAGGTGTGCCGTCTTCAGATATAATACAACAGATTGGTAAAATGGCTCTTGAGTGCTTCGCAATCACACACTGTCGCTGCTATCCACTTAAGAAGCCAAAGCTATTATACTTAAGACTGTCTAGAAATGTAATTTGAGGAACACAGCGTTCATCCATAAATACTGGATTAGCTAGTTTGGTGCAGCTGAGTCAGCACACAATGCCAGGAAGCCCATAAACATTTTAAATCACTGCAACACAGAGCAGGCATACACTTATAAATAAAGATCATCTGCTATCGAAAGCCACATCATTATGCCAGTTGTTTTTCAGTATACTGGCACCGCTGTGGCGTCACATCCCTGTAAGGAACCCCGAGTAAAACCCTGATTCCTCTCTGCAGACAAAAACTTTTCAAACGCAGCATTTCTATTTCTTATATTCACCTGGTGTCCTCACCGGAAGATAAATAAACTTTTGAGGGCAGCTTTGTCAGCGGCTCAGTAAATGCATGCGTTCAAACACCGCTCGGTGATAATGGTAAAACAGGAAGCAATCTCAGGCTCTGCTGAATTTTTCATATCAATTTTTTTGGGATGCTTTCGGTGCCACGAATATAATTCACCTCTATTATGCTGGGAAATCAACAGCGGTCTCTTTGGCAGATAAAACCCCAAACTGCTTCTATGGCTTACTGACGAAATGACACTTTGGTACCAGATCAGCGCCAGAATTCGAGAAATTCGACAGCGGTTTGTTGTTTAAACTGGAAATACTGGGCAACGGCAACATGTTGAATGGCAGCAGCGAGTGCAGCTGCAGCAGCACATCCGCTGCAACACGACACGAGCCTGCACGGTGACATTTTAGTCGTTAACATCAGAATAACAACACGCTGTGGAAATGCACGTTTAGGCTGCCGTTGTTGTTCGTGAACTGTGACAGCTAGCGTCTGTGGCGGCGATGCTCCACTCACAAAGCTAATGTCGCCTTGTTTAAGATAACCTTGCGATGACTCAAAACATGAGCCGAAAATAGCTTTAGTGTCATCATTACTGTTCAGTCAGTCAAAACGCACCGCTCTGTGTGTGTGTGCAGCTTTTTAATAAGAGTTCATGTTGAAATAGATGTGTTTGCTTTCTTTTTGGTGCAGAATTCAATATCAAGAATGATGGAAATACAACGGTCCTGATGCTGACGACCAGTTTCCTGATTCATGGCTAAACACCAGGGATGATGGGGGGGAACCTTTGTGTATTTTGGAGATTCGGGTGAACCGACTTGTTAACTCTCTTGCAGAACTCGTGTTTAACCCTCAGCTGCTGTTTGATGTTGTGCTGCAATGATTAATGAGCACGACAAACAAAACGGATGCAAATTTCTCTAAAAAAAAGGCTCCAAAAATAACACCAGTAAGAGCCCTGGTGCTCTCTGCAGACACTGTCGCCCGAGTTTAGAAATAAACCTCAACCTGTACATCAGTAGTTTTGCAATAAATACAAACATTTCAGGTTCGACTCATGTAAGTTGTTGTGTTTATCGCATTCAGTGGCTGTTCTTTTGTTTTCCCCCCTGAACTAATCTGATCCACACACTGAGTGAAATCAGTTTTTTTTTAACAGCGTGGTGACAAATTTTTATTATTGTTTCTGTGTCTTCTTCTGACCAGCTGGCGGATGACAGACTCCGAGTCGCTCGCGGAGTTGGCACGGCGTCGCGATCAATGCATATGTCTTTGCATATTGTACGGTTTATATTTTTGCTCTTAAGGTTGCTTTATGTTTACGGAGAGTCGAGCTAAATCTGCAAAACTGGTTTTTACAAGCAGTTTGCTCACAAACACAGACAAACAGCACTTCAGTCCTGTCTTTTCCATCAGGGCTGAGGAATGTAAACTTTATCAAAAAGACATTGCTCGCTATGTCTCCTGCTGCTCTTCATCTCAGTCACCTAAACTGTGTGAAATTGCTTTGGCAGACGGCACCTTTTTTTTTACTTTGAGTAAGTAACTAATAATTTGTTAGACACTGACCAAGAGCCCCTGGAAACAGGTAGACATCTTCCCACACAGAACAGGTGTTGCTGTGATAACACTTTCCTTGTCTTCCCACTTCTCCTCATACACTCACACTGCCGTTCTCCCCCGTTCGAGTAATTGAGAAATGAACGCGAAGTACAGTATGAATGTGAATGGCGACACATTTTCGCGTCGCGCTCGAGCACTCATTTACGTTTCAATTTTCTCTGTGCTAAAAATAGCAGCGACTAAAATGGTTGCGCTCTGAAACCGTGGTCAACATAAAAAAAAAAGCATTCTATTGACAGTAAATGCTGTAATTTGCAAGGTGCTAAATGGGAACGCTGCTGGAAATGTCCGCCTGACTGACATGCAGCAGGAAGCTCGTTATGACGTTTTCCTTGAACTTTCCAGCTGTAACTGAAAACCACTCAGCTTCCCGTTAGTGCTAATACGTCATTTAATCCATTAAAAACCGTTCCAACAATGTTATTAATAAAACAATCCTCTTGTCTTTTTTTTTTTTTTAAGTCAAGAAGACAAATAAAATGCACAAATTTTCACTTCTCAAATGCAAGAGTTTGGTGTTTCAATTATAATTTTTTTAATTGTTGATTAATCCAAAAACTTTTAAATGGATTCATAATTCAAATGCTGGATCTACAAAATGTTGGAATTTATTCACTCATCTCCCAATTTTGCTTGTTTTGTCCAACCTGCAGTCCAAAAACCCAAAGATATTCAGTTTACAACTCCGCAAAACCGAGAAAGGGAGCAAATCCCAACAACTGTGACGCCAGCAAGTACTGCCAATCAGTAATTAATTCACTTTGTGTAACAGCTCTATATTTGATTTGAACATGTATTAATAAACAGACCCTAAAGAAACTGTCCCATACGATAATGCACCACTTGAACCTTTGCAACTTCCACCCACATGTCAACACAAAGTCTGAAGAGCATTACTACTCACTTGCATGTTTATCTGCAAGCTGGATGAGGCTGTGGGAGATGTCTCTCCTTCTGTAGAAACAAACCACCTTGGCCTCCACATTCCCACTGGCGGTCTGAAACAGAGGAGAGCAGAGAGATCCAGGTTGACTGAAAGAAGTGGCAACACCTCCCCGCATAAGCCTGTAATTTCCCGAGAGACCTGGTTCTTTTGTGTACTCGTCAAGCTATGCTGCTATGACAGGCTGACCGGGGCCGCAACTGTGTTTTTGATCAGATGATTGATTTCTTGTCTCACTGTATAATTAGGCCGACAAGCTTTAAGACTCAGCCGGTATTAAATATCGTGACTGACGCGGAGCGAGTGGATGTGGTTGTACGAGGGTTTTCCAAACCTTTGTGTTTTCAACTTTTCTCAGCTGTAATACTGCAAGTTCTGCTGTTTTTCTAGGGAAGTTGTAGGTAAGAGAGGATGTACTTTCGCCAAATAACAGGAACAACATAACGAATGGTAATGTCTCCACCACCGCAAGCTACAGTCACAAAAACGTCGTGCTTACTCTGTCACATTTAATAAGGAATTAACGTGACAAGCTGCATACAGGCCATATCTGCGGTAGGACGGCTTTAATAAATGTTATCATTAAGCAGGAAGTTCCTGTTATTTTATCTGCCCTGTTTATCACTTGCAACGTCTCATGTCTTTAGACTATAATATGCAGCCTCCATATGCTTTTTTTTTCTCCCAACTAATACTGACCTGATCTTTCATTATCCCACCCACACAATCTGATAATGACCTGCATTTATCTCAACATCTTAGTGCAAGTACAACATGAGGAAAGCTTTTTCACACCACTGGAAACGTCTGTGTCGTATTTCTCACTTCATACTGCAGTCAGTTTTGGTCAAAAAACTCTACAACCGATCAAAAACATCAGACCACACCGAAGCCGGTGTCACTTTATACTAAAACATTTGGCATCTTTAGTCTATTGCAACGTAAGCTCTTTAAACGCTCCTTACAATTATCACGCCACCTACACTCCCACAGGTGTGTCCATTGATACAAAACAACAGTTGGGTAACCAGGGAACATCTGCCTCTTTCAGCCACATCACACAAACACCTAAAGTCACAAAATGCGCACACACAATGGCAAAGAGAGGAGAGGGGGGTGGGTGGGTGGGTGCAGGCATGGAGAGGAATCCATGCTATTCACCCTCAGGGATAAAGGGGGAATAAACATACACAAAAAAACGACACACAAACCTTGTTGAGTTCTTCTATCCGACGGATCAGGTAAGGGTTACTGGAGGAGTTCTCAAAGAATACATAATCTGCAACGGCAAACACACACACACCGATTACTTCACTGCGTCACATCGTTAAGTCAACATCATCTACTTAAATATGTACATTGCACACCTTGTTGATCAACTGCGATCCCCTTCCCAATTTGCTGAAATAGTCAGTAATTATCTGCCATATTAATTAAATATATCACCGAGCAGGTAATGACACACTATGGCGGTGCCAAATCTATAAACATGTAATCTGTGTGAATGTGCAGAAAGTCATGAAAACAGATGTGCACACCACCAGTAAAACAAAACTGGAATGAGCGAGCACCGCTGAGAACATCAAAGTCCAAGTGAAGCAGGTTCAAGCAAGGGCAAACGTAGAGCAAGAATCTCCCAGTCAGTCTAGGAGGGGGTTATCACACTATTCCCCTTCCTTAGATGAATATATTGAGATATGGACACGTCAGAAAGCTAATTTAATCACACATTTCCCCCCCAGGCCTACATAAAATCAGCATAAACCGACTCTAAGTGAGCAGATTGTACAGCAACTGTGCACAACTTCAGTCCAGTGGCAAGTGCTACGTTCAGGCGCTGTCTGAAATCCCGTAATTACTATGATTCAGACTTATAAACAGTGCAGAGCAATAGGAGACAGCTGTCAAGAAGCTGCATTCAGCTCGAGCGTATGAATTATCATGTTAATATGTGTAATAATACGTCAACTGTGGGTGATTTCAAATCATAAATTGCAGCTTCCTTCTCTTTAATTTGTCCGTTTAGCAGAAACTGGACTATTTATTTTTAAAGCATCGTTTTAAAGATACTTAGTCCATGACAGATGTGTTATTATTCAGACAGGGCAAAAAAGAAAAAAAGAAACCTTGAATGCACCTACAGGTTTTACAGGAAGTGGAATTTCCAAAGAGCACCTGAAGGCAGCATGAGAACTTGACTAAAGGTGGCCAAACGGACAACAAAGTGCTTCACCTGGTTTTAGAAATGAATTAATTAATAAAAAACGCCGGGGATTAAAGTGCTTCCAGTAACATCACCTGAGCGTCAAGATGCTTATTGTCTATGTGGCATGTGAAGCATGTGTGTGCATTCACGCTAATTCGTCTCAATACAGATTTAAAGCGGAGGGTTCGTGTGAGCAGAGGTGCAAGATTTAATCCGAGCAGACGCAACGACGCCATGAATCGAGACAATAATTTGATGTTGAATTCCAGTAGACTGCTAACGAGCTAGCTAGCCAGCCAGCCCAATTTGCTAATTAATTAGGCGAACCTAAGGTTGCACAGTGGGGCAAAAAAACCAACAAAAACCCGGCATGTAATATCACCAAAAAATGGTTTAAACACACAAGTCAAACTAGGATAAAGGAGCGGCGAGGCGGCGATAATGGCAATCAGTGAAGCCATTGCTGGTGCTAACGTTAGCTAAATAAGGACTCGTACTAATGGCTGCATGCCAGAAGAGGCAAATACAAAGGCAGCCTCAGACTGCCCGTGGTAACATTTTCACAACCTTTTAAACATATGTCTGGCCGTAAAGCACCACGTCCTATCAGCCCCCCGGTTCGAGTGTTCGCCGAACTAGCGGGCGGCGAAGGTGCCGACAACTGAAAAATGTTTACATTGCAAGCTAGCCATTTAGCAAGCTGGCGGCTAGCTGCTGTGGCCACGACAAACGCGAGGCCTGACCCATTTTGAATCCCAAATATTTAGAAATTCTCACCTTCCTGCTCCGACCCAGTGCAACCCTGTTGGTGTAGCACATCCGTATCTCACTAGCAAACACAAACGAGCTGAAATAACGCCACATTACAGCCGGCGGGGTGCAAAACTGGAAGGGTTTCTGTTTGATAAAAAGATCCACATTGACATACATACCTCCGACCCGGTACATGTTGGCCGCCATTTCTGCCCTCCCAGAGTGTAAACCATAAACTAAGAGGAAAATAGAATAAATTACTAAAAACAATAAAACTCGGGCTCTCGAAAGGTAAAAGGTGCGATAAATTGTGATCGTCGAGACTCCGGATGTGTACCCTATCGGGAGAATTTTACCAATTCAACCCCCCCTCCTCCTGCGCTCCACCGTACCCCTCACAATACAGTGAACTCACGGCAGCCAAAAGAAGTCGGATCAACCCGAAAAACCACTGTGACGCTGCGAGGGGGCCGCGCACGCGCAAACACAGGCACGGCCTCACACACACACACACACACACACACACACATGCACACGCACGCACACACAGACAGCGCGCACTCGTACGTACGCACACACACACACACAAGCAAGCCTATAAGTGTAATACCTGTTCTGCAGGTAACCATATAAAAGTTTTAAGGTTTCTTCAACATAACAAGGCTGCTCAATGTAACAGGAAGAGAAGTCGAGGCTGCAACACATACAACTGCATCAACTGTTATTATGATTACTGTAACTATGGTGTCCATTTTTACGCATGGTTTTGTATTGTAACAACATTTGTTGTGCAAATTCTCCCCCCCAAAAAATAAAAATAAAAGAGAGACTTTCCCAAAACAAGAGCCAAGTCTCATGGGGTAAGAGTGTCTTTCATAAGCACCTAGGGGTAAAAAAAAAACGTAAAGCTCAGTGTCTCCCGGTTTTGTCTAGCTGCTCCACTGATGAGGCACTCCACGGAAATTATCTGAGGGCCTTCGAGAGACAAGATAAGGCGCTCCAAAGTTTCAGGGTCAAGCTGATGCAAACAAGAGTGCATGAGAGACAAAGCTTCCCATGAGAGAGAGTACACAGTAAATGTATAATAATAACTTTATTTGCTTGGTAGCTTTCCAAAACAAAATGCTTTACAATAGACTAATAATGAAAACAAATTCAAACAAAGACATACCAAGATAAAATAGTTACAAAAAGCACATTTAGGACAACAGCCACTGCGTCAAAGTGCCCTCCAGCAAGAAAGATTATGATGAAGTATGCAAAAGAATAGCATGCCGAGTGTGTGTGGTAAAATATAACAAATGAGTACAATTTCCATCACACCCATGGAAATATTTACACTATTTCATAGCAAGGAGCTGTCTTCACTTTGGAGATAATCGTGCGTAAATTACGCTCCACACCGTTCCTGTTGGAGTTTTTCCTCCTTCCTGCGTGCGCCTGTGCGCATGTGACATCATTGATGGGATTGGCTCGCCCTGACTGGGGTGGAGAGTCTCTTCCACAGGCTACACAGGGAGAAGGAGAAGGAGAGAGTGAGGGACAGAAGGGAAGAGTTTCCAGCAGCCACGGACCTCAGCGCAGGGCCACCTCCACTCAAAGCGAACCACGCCCCGGGGGCGGCAGGGGGAGACCGTCCGCTCCCCAGCTGCCCAAAACTCCTGTGATGGAAGGCGGGGATGGACTGTGAAGGGGAGTTTGAGTAGTGCACAGGTTGGCAAGATGAAGTTCGGGAAGAGCATCTGCGTGCTCAACGTAGGGGGAACCCGGTACGCCTTCACCCGTGAGGTGATCAGGGATTTCCCTCTCCGGCGCGTCAGCCGCCTGCATGCCTGCGCAACCGAGAAAGAGGTTCTTGAACTGTGCGACGACTACGACCGGGACCGGAATGAGTTTTTCTTCGACCGCCACGCGCAGGCTTTCGTGTTCATTATGCTCTACGTGCGCTCCGGTAAACTCCGGTTTGTCCCCGGAGTATGTGAGCTGTCCTTCTACACTGAGATGCTCTACTGGGGGCTGGAGAGCGCGCACTTGGACTCTTGCTGCCAGAAGCGCCTGGACGACAGGATGTCTGATATCGGAATGGACAGTCTGTCCGAGGGGGACGTGGGGCTGTCAGGGGACGAGTCCCAGAGCCCGGACGAGCCGGTGCAGCGGACTGCGCTCACCGGCCGCGCTAGATGGCTCGAACTGATGCGCAAGACGTTTGAGGAGCCCAACTCTTCCCTTGCAGCGCAGCTTTTGGCTTCAGTGTCCGTGATCTTTGTCATCGTCTCTATGATAATGCTTTGCGCCAGCACGCTGCCGGATTGGGATACAGCCAAGAGAAATTCTGTGGAGGAGCACAGGTAGGCGATGGTCAACAGTCAGTAAAGTTCAAGGAATAAAAGTGCCCCCTCAGGAAAAAAAAACAGCCAAATGTTTAGACGCAGTGTGTGCGGATATCTTACAAGTGACACGGTGCTCTCATAAATCCTGTGCGTAAAAGTGAATTCAACAGACTCAGCCATGTGAAGGATAGATTTCTGTCATTACAAACACTGTATAAATAAATAATAACACTCATAAATACTTGAGAATCTCATATGAGCGCCTGCTTGCGTTCGAGGCAGCGGTCAAACTATTGCGCACTATACATTTATGGTCCAGAAGGTTGACGCATTGAGGCATTTTTTTTCTGTTTTCTTTTTTGTTTGTTTTTGTTGTTGTTGTTTTTTTTTAATATTCCAGCTCTTTAATAGGCAATATGACGTTTGTCGCTATGCAAGGATTAAAACATTATGAAGGATTTTGAAGAAAGAGATTCAAAACATCTACGCATTATGTAGAATGAGATTTTGTCCCTGTGTGATAGTGACGCTGCTGAAGTCAATAAACGCACTGACAAGTTTCGGGCAATGTATTAAACATTATCCTCGCATGACAGTCGGACAAGCCCCCAAGACAGCAAATCAATAATCAATCTCTAAAAAGTGAGGTGTTGTTCTGCCTTCCTGCTTAGTTTTCCCCTCACATCTGCCCCTCCTCCTCCTCAGTTAATGTGAGTATCTTTATTGGTGAGTTTATATTGCACAGCGCACAAGAAGAACAAACACATTAGATAATGCTTGATTCAGGATATTTGACTAGTTGATGAGGTGAAAGCAGAATGTGTACTGAGGGATTATACATTACTGTAAGCAAACAAACAGAAATTAAACCACTTACAGGAATCAGCTTCTTTCTGAGCCGCCGTTTGGACCGTTGCTTTGCCTGAAGTTAGTGCATGCAGGGAGAAAAGGTGCATTTCTCTCTCTGCATTTTTCTGGCCTCAGCCAGAAGGCGGCGATTCTCTATATAAGGTTAGGTTCTGTTCACTCGGGCTGGACACGGTTTTGAGGTTTGGATCGGTTACAGTGGTTAGGTAATCAACTAAAAGTAGTTTACATCAGGGTCAAAAGGATTCCAATTTAGTTTCATGCCAGCGGATGATGCAGTTCTCTCAGCTGCTCCATGATTTGGTTTGGTCTAATTGTGCTGATTGTTGCCCTTCAGGCTCTGTGGTATTTGCTTGGCCTCACCTCTCTCTAATTCAGTTTGATTGTGCTAATCAATGGGGTAATCGTGTGGCAGTCTCTTTGAAGGGTTTTAATCCCCTCCCCTGTTGCAGTTTCCTGCCACTTCACTGTCCTTTCTGCGCATCTGCCCCTCTGCCTTTGTTTACTTGCGTCCCCATTTCCCATAATTTACTTCACCCCCTGCTTTGCTTCCTTCTTTCCTCCTCGCATTTACTGATTGTCAAGCAGTATCTCATGTCATCCATATCTCCCCGTAGCTCCTCTGCCATTTCCTGTTTACAGTGTGCGCAACTCATTTTTTTTTCTCCTCTCCTCTCCGCTCTGTAGGATCGTGGAGGCAGTGTGCATTGGCTGGTTTACAGCAGAGTGCATAGTGCGCTTTCTGGTGGCCAAAGACAAGTGGGAGTTCCTCCGCAGGCCACTCAATATCATCGACGTGATCGCCATCACCCCCTACTATGTCACCATGGCGATGGCCCGGGCGGGGATGCCTGGTGCCGGGCTCGGGGTTGCCGGAGTGTTCTTGCGGGTGCTGCGGATGATGCGGGTGTTCTGGCTCATGAAGCTGGCCAGACACTTCCTGGGCCTGCAGACTCTGGGGCTGACGCTACGGCGCTGTTACCGGGAGATGGTGATGCTGATGGTGTTTGTCTGCGTTGCCATGGCGATATACAGCGCTCTGGCCCAGCTCCTGGAGCACGGCTTGGACTTGGGCACGCAGAACCACGACTACGCCAGCATCCCGGCCGCTGCCTGGTGGGTCATCATCTCCATGACGACGGTGGGATACGGGGATGTGTATCCGGTGACAATTGGGGGACGAGTGCTGGGGGGAATGTGCGTAGTGAGCGGCATCGTGCTCCTGGCTCTGCCCATCACCTTCATCTACCACAGTTTCGTTCAGTGCTACCATGAACTCAAGATGCGCTCTGCCAGATACGCGCGCAGCCTTTCTGCATCTGAGATGCTGCGATGAAACACGCACTTATACCAAACCAACCAACTCAACAAATCACTGGATAACATTGTGAAATAATGATGTGAGCTGCCCTGTTTTTTTTTCTCCTGCCTGAGCAGCACCTGATTTTATTTGCTGCCTGTTGTGTTGATGATCTCGCCTTCAGCCAGCATGCTCTGCTCCTGCCTCCTCAAAAAGCACACACAATTTGGACAGACTAATAGGAACACACAAACAATTATTTATTTAACACACACACAGGTGCAGTCAATCCGTTTTTTTTTCTTTTTTTTTGTGCTGTGGCTGCTGTTTACACTGTATTCCCATGGTTACAGGCAGAGATGGCTGCAAGGAGAGAGCAGTGTGTGTTTGTATTTGTCTGACCATCACTTTGTGGAAGCTTTGCACCCAGATGGTACAAGTTACACAAGATTGATGTGTGACCTAGATGCATCCTGTTGAACCTGTGAAATAAAAAGAGAAGGAGCGAACATGCGAGTGCAAAGTGGGGATGGAGAAGGGGTTAGGCACAGGGCTTTAGTGTGTAGGAGGAGCTTAAGCCAAGGTTAATGAAATATTGAGACAGGTCAGCCAGAAGTAGGAGGTGGCAGACAATACAGCAGATATGATGGGGCAGATGGAGTGTGAAATGGATGATGGAAGATGATGGAACCCAAAAAAAAAAAAAAGACAGAATGTGGAGAGCACAAAGAATGAATAGATGGAGTGTATATTGCTTCTCCATTTGTGAGTGAATGTAAGGCATTTTGTATTTCTGTGTCTCCAAGGCAACCTCATCCTCCAACATGTCAATCATACTGGTGGTTGATTTGTGTGCACACAAATAGTCTACATCCACGCACACCTCCTGGCTGGCAAACGGCACTTCTTTTTTTTTTCTCTTGTTCCCTGTGATTATTGGGAATCACAGGATAAGCTTTAAAAAAGAAGAAGAAGTGTGGAAAAAAATGAACAGTAGAGGCTGTCACAGATGATGGTTCTGACATTCATGATTCACACATGTTTGCACGGTCCGCGGTTTGCCAAAAACGATACGATTTGTTGAGCAGACACATGATCCAAACAAACAAGTCAACACCTCTCCCACACAACAGTCTTTCTCTGCATCTCCTCTCCTCTTCCTCCTGTTGCCATCAACCGTCCATTTTTTTTTCATTTTTCTTTGCAAACAAATGAGCGCACACGCACAGATCCCGCTTCTTCTGTTGCAAAGGAAATTAAACAGTTAATGAGTCTGTCATAATCTTCGCAGCCCTGTATGAGTTTGGCATGTACCGTGGACATCCTCGTCGTCGTCGTTATTGTTATTGATGTGCTTTTTTAGCTAGTTTGGCTGCCACAGAAATGAAATTAAACACAATCAATATTTTATTACCTACCTTATAATACATAAATCATGTAGCATAGTTTAGAGCCCAGTGGATTTTGGTCCTGGCCTGATTGAAACTATCAATCAAAACTTTTTTCATCAATACACCATGGAGTCGTAATTAATGTGATCAATGTAAGAGCTTTTTTTAATAAAACCCACTCTGTGCAAAATGTCTTCGAATGTCTTATTACAAATCAAATTGTGCCATAAAAAATGTCTTAAGCGAACTCAGAATGATCAGACGCTGATATTATTCTCCAAGATTCTTATTTGTCACCTAAGACATCCTTCCCAATTAACTAAATGAATTAATGCCACACAGAATAACCTCAAGATGTAATCAGAGATAAGATGCGGCCGTTTTTTGGTAGCTGGAGCTTGGTAAAATTCAGAAGTCTTGATGTGATGGTACACTTTTCCAACCTCCTGGCCTCCCTTCGGTAAGCAATGGGACGTTACATTGAATGCGAGGAACACCTCGGCCTGCTGGCAAAGGCATTCAGTGCACTCATCAGATTCACACCGGGGTGAGCGGTAATGCACTCAGTCTGGCTCACAAAGTACTGCTACAGGGGTAAATCGACCGAACTCGAAAACTACTGCAGCGCTGCTCTCAGGGTTTGGACTTTTCAAACATTTCTCTCACTGAACTGGGATGCTGCAGCCAGGAGATATTTGGGAGGTGTTTGGTCTAAAGTTCTAACGTTTTGACTGTTCAGAACATCCACATTTCTGTCATATGTGCAGTGAAGACTTTGAAGAAATTTAACAAAAGGTGTTAAAGGTATTTTGTTGGGGAAAAATGGAAGTCATCAGTATATTGACATGTATGACTCTTGTGGATGCTTCAAACACATCTTCAGACCGACAGAACAGAAGGTCTGCACAGTCGCAATGGCTTCAACCCAAGTATATGTATTTGCCACATCCAGTATGGGCACTGAAATGCAAAGTGGTTGTTTCACGAGGCTGTGCAATAGCAACAAAACACAGCTAGAGTCATGTGTTTGTATGCTTATGCACAAGAGCGTCTGTATGTTTCATACATATTCACATTGTGCCACTGTGCTGTTGCTGTTTGAGATGAGGTGTTATGACTTATAGATCTGAAGTCAGAGTTCACAGTCCTGACAGCGTGAGGGAAGAAGCTCCTCCTGACTGTGTTTACCTTGATGTTGTGCAGGCGGCGGTTAAAGCGTAGCTGGAGTGGTGGGGGTCCTCCGTGATCCTGCCTGGTGTAGATGTCTCAGCGGACAGGTCTCTCCGCTGACCTCAGCATCCTCTGCAGGGTCGCAAAAGGGAGATTAGGGTCAGCAAAAAGGCATCTAATCAAAAGTGAAATACGGTCACAATCTGCTCTTCCTTTCCTGAGCTATCCATTGAAAAATTGACAGAAAAGTGTTTTTGCAGAACACAGTGACATCACAGTAAAACCAGCCTTTGACCTTTTGGATATAAACTGCTATCAAATCATCATTTTCACATATTAGACACTTGTATGAAATTTTAATTAGAATTCTTGAGTTACAGCCAGAATGTGACTTCTATGAGATCAAACTGATGAAGAACTTTGACAACCAAAACCAGCTCATACTGCAGTCCACAAAATCATCCAATGGTGGTTGAGGAACTTCACTCAAAACCGCAAAAGTCTCCCTCCTGGTGGCACCAGAGGAAAAGTCTGAAATCGCTAAAATATGAATGATCTGTACCAAATATTTTGACAATTATTACAGTAAATGTTCAGCCGTTTCACTGAAGACAAGTTTTCACAGACACTTAAGAGACTGGTGACGTGTTTAAGTTACACACTGCCTTTGGTTTCATCTACAGAAGAAAGCAAATAGATGGATGGGTAAACCTTTTATTTCAGTACCAGTACAGTCACGACAGTCATAGGATTCATCCTCTGGGGCTTATGGATGTTTGTAGAAAATGTCATGGCAATAAATCCAACAGTTGCTGAGATATTTCAGTCTAAACCAAAGTGATGGGATTGAATGACCAACAATAAAGTCCATAGCATGGCTAGTCCACATGGCAGTATATAAATGAGTCTGTATTTTCTGGATATATATACTGGACCACAGTAATATCTACCAAGCTTCGATATTTGTTGAATAAATGTAACTGACAGTGTAAAGATACAAAGGAATAAATTGTGAGTTTCTGAGAAAATAAACTCACAATGTACTCAACCTTACATCACTTCCCAGTTTAGGTCTATTTTTTTCCCCACAGCTTTTAGCTACTTTACTGTGTTTTCTTTGTCATTCAGTCACTCTCAAAGGCAGTCAAGAGCACTTGTAAATTGTTTTTTTGAAAAGCTCTTCAATGAACACAGCAAGACACAAAGATAAGCTTCAGCCCAGCACACAGCAAGACACCAAGAAAATACAAGTTAACACAGCCTAAGATGGAGAAATATAGACGTACTTTCACATCGTACCATAAAAATGTAACATAAGATAACGAAAGCAGGTCATTTTTGACATTTAACATGTTTAATTTATGCAAAACGGACTGGCCTCTTGTTGTGGATCAAAGTCTCGCAGCAGTAAAGAACTCATTAATTTACCAAAAGCGTAATTTCCACAAGAGGTCGAGGGACTTTTCATGATCCTGTTTGGCATTTTATCACGACCGCTCTGCACACATCTGATTGCGGAAGCGTTTTAAGTGTGTTTACAGCCTGAGGGGAACATCTGCAGGCACCGTTCAGGGCTGGAAAAAACACACAGCGACCTTTTCATTTAAAAAAGCAAAACAAAACAAAAAATATGAATCATATTTTGATTACCCCTGAACAATTTGTGATCACAGTCATAGTTATGAGCACTCAGAGGAAATCACTGTTTCACAACAATATCATCAACGGGTTAGCTGTCTATATTAAGTATCAGAGATTTGTCAATCAATGGGATTTAAAGAAGGATTAGTCAGTATTTCACTGTAAAACTAAATAGACTAAGGTCATACAAAGTGCACATAAAATAAAGGAGGAGCAGTTAAATGCACTTTAAGTATCAAAAGTAGAATTTTAATTTGACATTTTTATTCTCACGCCGTACTGTTTCTGTATGTTTTGCTTTATTTTCACCATGCTGGTGTAACATTACGGCACATGCTCTCCAAGACTTGTTTGTGTTAATATTATATTACTTCATACTACATAGTTCCAGTTATCCTTTAAGGTTCAGGTTAAATGTGGTTTAATTGTTCTTTCATATTTACCTTTCTTGGTTCCCTTGTTCTGACCCACCATGCAGGACTGGTGTTGTGGAGGGAACCGGCCCAACACTTCCTGAGTTCATGGTGTCAGAGTGACATCACTGGGCCAGACCAAGTGGAGGGTTTTTTCCTTTTTCAGGAACATTTCTTTTGCATTAAAAGGCATCGTTCAGTTGTAACTTTAAATGTTTAACTCTAAGGAAAGCTTTTAGAAAAGTCAACAAATTTGTGGTGTGTACTGTGATGTTGTTTGCACTTTTGTTTGCTTCAAAGTTATAGAAAAGGTCCCCATGCTGTTTGATGGTAGGACTGAAGTGATCAAGGTGTTGATTGAGCACCATATATAAGGAGTAGGGAGGCTGAAAGGTGAGGTTGTGGTGTTATTGTGTTTTCATGTTTTATGGCTCAATTTTGGAATTTTTCTGCCTGCCTACCACCTTCATCGACCTTTTGTCCAGACGACTGTACAAATTATATCTAGAATGTGACCCATGTGATCATTTAAGTAACCATAAAAACACAACAAAAACACATGTGATTGTATGGTGATAGGTGACTGTAGTTAGATAAGCAATCAGAATTTTCTGTGTTTTTGTTTTGTTTTGTTTTGTTTTGTTTTGTTTGTCAGAAAAACAGACCTCAAATTTGAACAGATTATAATTAGCAATTTATTCAGAATGTAGTTTTAAGTTTCCACCTCACCAACACCTACATCTCTTCTAGTGAACTGTTTACAGCTACTTTGGGTTAAGGCTTTTGGTTGTTAGGTCAGTCACTCTGGTTACTGCTAAATTAAAGAAAACAAATATTTCCAAAGAACACATTTAAATTCAATGTTAGCTCTTTAAATCATCATAAACTAGACCAATACCAAGGCACCCAGTTTGAGAACCACTGATCTAACTGTCTGCGCTAACTGTGACATAAATGTGGAACATGGGCTAAGTATAGAAAGAAAGTGGGTTGACCTGACTTTACCTAAAGCCCCTTGCATCACATTTACAGTAATTTTTTTTTACACCGAATTGAGTTGACAGTGGTACAATTGTGGCATTAAAATGTAGAGACTGCAGAGGGTGGGATAACCTCATAGGTTCAAATCGCAAAAACACCTCTTGTTTAGAGAATATTTTCATAAAATTCCTTCTCCAGGTCGCCACTCTATTTTTAAACGGGCATCGTTGGGGCAGGCCCCCCTACTACGTCACTTTCAGGCGACGGGCGCAGCAGGAAGGCCCTTACCGGTTGATGTTGTTGTGTATAACACCTTTCACCGTCCTTCAACGGTAAAAATGTACTACAAATTCGGCGGTTTCACCCAGAAGCTGACGGGATCTACTCCCTCCGCCGCCTACAATCCTCAGGTGAGACCGGGAATCGGTTTGTCGGTGAAGGACCGAGTCGGTAGCTCTCGGGGATGACCTTGATGTCGCTGTGTTGGATTAAGCGTTCCTGTGTGTTGTCCGTAGCAGGGCTGCAAACTAAACTAAAGACACTTAAAGAGTCGACACAGTTAACTAAATGTACAAAAACATGTAGTAATTCCTAAACATGGTGTTTTTCTTGATAGTTTTGTTTTGTTGAGAAGTAACGCTCATTAGCGGTAGTTTGCCTCGTGGCTAGCCGGTAGCTAACGCGTTATCTTCACCTGAACTTCATTTGACTCGGATATTCTGTACTCCAGATAAGTAATTTGTACTTTTAATGAAGTAATATGACGTTGTAAAAATGTCAGACAGATTATAAAGCGGTAGTGGCCTTTCTCATTAATTTCTCTGTACAGCGCTAGTCCCCTGTTTCATTACTGCTTTATCACAGAACCTTTACTTAACCTTTATCCCAATAGGTTGTTTCCAATATGTGGCTCGGGCCCTAGTGTGACTTTACAGCTAATTTCGAAATCCAATCGCCTTTCAGAGCATCTGCCAGATGTGACCTTTATGATGGCGCCTCTGTGCGTCCTCTATACTGAGGGGTCTTTGTACTGTGATTGTGGCTTATTCTACCTTAAAGCTCTCTTGTGTCTCAGCTCGGAAGTCACTTAATCATTTAACCTTTATTAGAACTCCACGTACATTAAGGTACGGAGGACTCATTTACAACGTACCCAGCTAACAATAAGGAACTTTGATAACAGTACAATATTTAATAACCTTAATTAGAAAATGTACATTGTTTAAAACATATGAATCAAATAAAACAACTGGAAGTATAATAAGATGAATTTAAAGCCTGCTTTTCCTTAAGGATAAAAATAAGTCGAACTTTAAATTGCCCTGCAGGTTGTTCCAGGTCGCAGGTGTACATTCAGTACAACTGGATTTTCCAAGCTCAGTCAAGGGCAAGAGCCCACATCACGAGACATTTGACAGGTAGTTTGTCAGAAGAAAAATACATCTGTTACTATACATTAACTCAAGTATTGCGTTGTAGTACTGCTTGTATTTCCGTTTTATTCTACTTCATACTTCTACTTTAACTAGTGACCTGTTCAGGGTGTCCCCTGTCTTCACCCTGAGTCAGCTGGGATAGACTCCAGTCCCCTGCGACCCTAGTGAGGATTAAGCAGTGTATAGATAATGAATGGATGGATGGATGGATGGACAACATTTTTGGCTTAGCTTCAATTACAGCTTAGATTAAGACTTTATATACAGAACAAGTGACACTGACAGTATGATTCACTTATGTGGTAACCCTCAGAATCTGAAGCAGTTTATGGATGTTGTTGACTTCTGTCATATTTGTACTCACTGTGGGTTCAATGAACTACAAGTAGAGAGAACTCAAATATGCTTTCTAAAGAATGAAATTACTCAGAAAAAAGTAGAATAACTTTGATTTTTTATTTTAAAAAAAATTCAAAAAGCTGAAATCAACATGCACATCAGATTTATAAGCTCCCACAGGTGGCACACGTACTTAAAACAAACTGTGACGATACATATCATAGATGCTTTACTACTTATATTTGTCCTTCTCCTGTTTGCTTTGTGTAAACACAGTCAGCCCAGTAACGTGCCAGTCAAACCAGCTGGCAGGTTAATTACATGCAGGAGACAAATTAGGTAGATCATTATGCTTTATTTATAGAAGAAGTCTCGCTGAGGTCCTAGGGTTTTTTCAGAAGCAATATTTGAGAACAAAGTCTATATATACAACAGAGCAACAACAATTAATGGATTATTTGTCAACCAAATTAATCATCAACCAGTAAGAATTAATTGGTGTGAGTATTTTTTAGTCAAAACTCTTTAACTGTAGCTTCTTAAATTTGAATGTTTTCTGGTTTCTTCACTCACTTATGACAGTAAACTGAATATCTTTGGGTTTTGGGCAAAACAAGACATTTGAGGTTTTCTTGGGTTTTAGGAAACACTGACTGGCATATTTAACAAACTTCAAGAAAGTAATATACACGTAAATCAACATAAAAGTATGAATAGTTCAGTCGCAGAAAAACAGTTTGTGCGTTTCATTTTGCCGCTTGTTAAAAGTGAAGAAACCAGGTTTAACAAATTGCATATGAGGCATCAGATGCAGCACTCAGTCTGTATTAGCAAATTGTCAAACAGCAGCAGGTGGGAAAGATGCTATGATAAACATAACTGTCATCTTTTTACAGCCTACCGGTTTTGGTAAACATACAGCACATTTTCCTTTTTGTTCCAGACACCAGTGGTGAAATAAGAGATTGTGTTGTTTGCAATGAGCCACATCACACACACTGTAGGATTTTATTGTGTTATCCCGACAGGCATTTCTGCAATTCTGTCCAACTGATATATATCAGTACGTGTTGGCAAAATAACAGAAACACATCTCATACATAATGCAGTACGTTTCAGCATAAAACAGCCAAACAGCTCCATCACAAACTCAGCATTAGAGCCTTCATGAAGGTTTACTGCAGGGCATTTTTACATTTTTATGTTGATGCTTTTACTTGAGCTTTTTTTTTTTATTCAATAATTAACTGTAATTATTATTCTGCAGAATATTTTCTGGGTTAATTGATTAATTCTTCTGTTTACAAGGTGTCAGAAAAGGGGAGAAAATACTTCACAGTTTGTTTTACATTTTACAAAAAATAAAATTAATTCGAGGCATTTTTACTTAACAAATGATCCGTTATCAAAATGTATGGACAATATTTTTTGTTGTGAATTTACTAATTGATTACCTGACTCATACTTGCAGCTCTAATTTCCTTTTACAAAATATTTTTAAAGGCTCAGACTTCCAGCCGACCTAAGCAACCGTAGAGCCCAGCGATGATAGAGACGATGCTATGAAAAATATTAGATTAAAGAAAATCACGCTGTATATTTTTCAAGCAAACCTGGTGCAAAGTTTATTATCAAATACTAGTCCTTTCAAATCCCTTAGCATATCCTATTAGGCGTTTCGCAGCCTTCTTGACTTCGGTGAAGCAAATCACACATTTAATTGACGAGTGTTGTTAACCAGTGTGCTGCTGAGTTAGCGCCACTTTTTTCCACAAGTGTCAGATAGTACACGGTAGGAGCAGTTTTAAATCGAAAATGGTGATTTAAAACAATCAGCACATGGGCTACGATTTAGGATACACATTAAAACTGCTGCGTCAGTGGTTTAGTGAATTCATGCCGTTTTTCCTTGTGTGACTGTCGCACTTTTGATGATCTCTCATGCCATGATAGTGCAAATCAAAGTGCAAAATCTTTCAGAAAAATCCCGATTAGATATTTTCCCCCAAACTGCTCAGCCCAAGCGCAAACTGCCGGTAATGACCGTTTGAAATGAGCCTCCGCTTGTCTGACATCCTCAGTTACATGCAAATATAGTGATGATGGATCTGTGGCGCTGCTTTACCTATGTAGAAGATAGCTATTATCATATTAGCTAGTTGGTTTCAGCCATTTTCCCCGCTTATCTTTTTATTTAAGCTGAATTTCAGAAGCTCCTGTGTACATGTGTTATTTCAAGTTTTATTAATTGGTGTTATTCTTGAATACATTAAAAAACATTTAAACAAACCAAACGTATTGGATATACAGGCGCCCGTCATGCCTGGAGGTGACGAATGAACGGTGCTGGGAAAGAAAAGGTCCAAACACCGCCGCTGATCCCTCATATAGTGTAATAAAACTGTCGATGCAATTTCTTTTTACAGCAGCGGTTGTAATTTCATAGCAACCGCAGCCTTTTCCACTAACTGAGCAATTTTCACCTGGAAAGCTGGTCACGTGACCTCAGCTCCATCTGCCCTCTCGTAGCCGCCTTTACTGCCTCACAGTTGACAGATCGATTATAGAAAAAAAGCCTGGCGTCTGTCAAACAAATGCAGACAGAACGACCAACAGCGACGCATTTTCAGCCGATTTAGAGTTTGACTAACCTGCATGTGTTTGAGTGAAGCGGAGGGAAGCCCCCCATCAGACACCCGAAGGCAGAAGTTTTGTTCCCCTTGTAGCATTCTGCTTATTATTCGTCCACACTTTGCACCGCTCTGTACACGTCCTGCTGTGATGGCAAATCATGCGAGAGCACCTCCAGATTATACATGGAGAGCTCACGTCTACGGTGTATTTCTGGTGTACGATGAGCCCCTGCTGCGAACACATTTAGTAAAGGCCTCTCTTAAATGGCAAGTAAAAATAATCTGCTTTCAGTGCCTCTGCTTTTTCATATGTCAGATTTAATTTCCCCGCTCCCACACTCTCTGCCTCCACATGCTCTAACAAGGTAATGGGTCTCCCAGTAACTTTCAAAAGCAAGGTGGGTGAGAATCTTCCTCCAAGTGAGAGGATACTAAGGAGGACTTCATTAACACCACAGCGTGCTGCTGGATTTTTTTATTTTTTTAAACTTGCAGTATGTACTTGCTGGGAAACTGGAACACCGTTGTGAAATGTAAGGATAATTATCTTACACATGCTCCAGTGGATCAAAGGATTTAAGGTTCTGGTTGGGAAATAACTACTCAGAAAGTAAATAGAGCTTTAAATAGAGGCCGATCTCATTCTTGGACCTCCTTTATTGGGCATAATTTGTGTAAAATGGTTGCTTTAAACAAAATGTTATCATTTAAGGACGTTAAACTGCGTTTCACAAAAATCAGCCTCGATGTTAATAAACTGAAATTTGTAACGCTGAGCTGCTACTTGAGGTGCTCTTTAATAAACGGGCCCTTATTCAGCCTCCCAAGTGGAGCCGTAACTCGCTTGACAAGAACAATCGAGCACTCGTGTAATCACCTGTATTCATAGAGCAGCTCAGCAGAGAGCCAACAGAGTGATTTCTCTTGTTTTATTACATACAGAAGAAATTATGTTCTGTTTCTAATTGCTGTAAAAAAATCAATATTTTTAATATATTCATACAAATCTAGTAGTTTTCCATCCATCCATCATCTATACACCGCTTAGTCCTCACTCGGATTAGCTGGAGTCCATCCCAGCTGACTCAGGGTGAAGGCAGGTTCACCTGGACAGGTAACCAGTCTATCACAGGGCTACACTTAGAGACAGACAACCAAGCACATTCACACCTACGGACAATTTAGAATCACCAATTAACCTCAGCGTGTTTCTGGACTGTGGAAGGAAGCCAGAGAACCCGGAGAGAACCCACGCTGCACGGGGAGAACATGGAGATACCACGCAGAAAGATCCCGGGTGTCCTCACCGGGATGCGAACCGGCGACCTTCTTGCAGCCCAGTAGTTTTCCAATTCAGCAAAATTTGGACACGATGTAGAATCCAGTTTACAGCAGTCATACCGAGCTCACATTTCTATTTATTAGATGTTTTAGGCGCAATTTGAATTCTGTTTGGAGCCCGTAACACCTGCATTGTAGTGAAAATGCTGTTTAACCATAAATCCCTTGAAACAAAAGCCTGGACTCCCCTGACAGGCTCTTCCTCACGCTGTGGACTTTCTGCCTGCGACAGTAATTTCACTGAGACATCGCAAAAGGTCTCGACTTCCACTACTTCTCTGCCAAGGCGTCTTATTATTCTCAAATGGAAGCATACTTCACCCCTCATATTTGAAGGTTACATCGAGAAAGGCGCCGAACTGCATCAAAGCGTAGAAACAAGCACTGAATACTATTTTCTCTCATATAATTCTTGACTCCGGTGCCTCGTGATGCCGAGGTTGGCTGATTGCCTCGCATCCCCTTCCCTCCCTGATGTTTTCCTTTGAATCTATTTATTTATCTGTTGTTCTACTTTTTTTTTTTCTCTCTGTTCTTTTTTGTTTTTGTCGAAGTCAAGGTCTTCTACCCACAGGGCTGGAATGGGTGGGCGGGGAAGTAGAGCTGGTTATGTAAGTGTTAAATGTTAAAAATGAAGTTTGCGGGAAAAAGAAACCCTCGTCTTGTTCGCTGTGGATCAGAACTGTGGGTTTGCCAAAGCAGCGGAACATGAAGAAGCCAGAGGACGGCGAACACTTATTACAGGCACTCTAATAACGCTGTAGATAAACTTCTGGTGCATGTGTATTACTAACACAGAACTGTTGCTTGTTTTTGTTCAGGGGTTGAAGGCGACGTTGCCAGCAGAACCCCCAACCATGATCTTCACCACACCCACAAAGTTGGTGACAGAGGGCGCAACCGCAGTGGAGCACATGGGCGTGAACAAAGTTCCTGACTTCCAGAAGTTTTTCCAGGTAACTAGGGGTCGAGTGATTATCCGCCTTGTTATTTGTATGAACCGATAATCGATGCTTGTGAAGCAGCACCGCGCTCTGTCTGCTCTCTTATCTGTCATGAGTAAGCACCAATCGACTTTGAAAGCTACCGTTTACAGACGGGGACAGACGAGCGCGTTTGCTGAAGTCATGATAAACACCACAAATAAAAATGCCCATTCACTCGCTTGTGTGATGCCATCGCTAGGCTACGAGCTGTGGTTCTCAAACTTTTTGAGCCATGACCCCCAAGATAACATCAGTTTGTGTTTGTGACCCCCCAGTTTGAATTTTTGATATATCATGAGTAAAACTGCATTAATGCGTTAAAAATTAATTAGTTTATTCCACGGATTGATCTCTTTACATCAGCACGTTAATTTTCTTTTGAATGAATGAATGAATTGAATTTATTTTGAACAAATGAACGGGGAAAAAAAAATAACAACAAAAGAAAATAATTTTAAAAAAGAGCAAATAAGAATAATAATAAAATCAAATCATAATATTATCAAGTTCACAAAAGGAGTGGGAAGACACTTTCAATTTTGACAGCCCTAATACACATTTAGTTGATAAATGTGGGCTTAATTTAATTATTTTTTTTTTTTTACAATGATCTGACGACCCCCTGGAATTATCTTGGGACCTCCATGGGGGTCCCGACCCCCAGTTTGAAAGCCACTGATTTAGAGGTTTGCTGTTAGGCCTGTGGCTAATGCTAGCTGAAGTATGCGTGTCATCAACAACCTGCAAAAGCTGAACAAGAGGCACCAGCCATCGGGTAAAGATATGCTAACGGCTAGCGTGCTAAGTTAGCGAGAAGCCGCAGAGAACCTCAAGACAGTTTCTAGAAAACAAAAATGCTTTAAAATGTGGGCCTTAGTGCGCAGTAAAGTTGATGGAAGATTAAAAAAATAGACAAGAACAGCAGATGTAAGAGACAAACCTTTCAACAACCAATCAGTGGATGTTACAGGAAACAGTCGAGCGTCGTAGCATCACGTGATGCTCCAGCGTCATCACCACGACTGCTGCTGTGCACATCTAATTATAGTGATCTTTATTAGTGCAGAAGCCTAGTTATGACTGACCAGGTCCCTGCTGGTACATGCTGTGAATAAATAACATTTAATGTGGATCGGTTGCCGGTAGTTCTTGATTACCAATAATTAGAATCGTTATCCCCAAAATGAACACGTGGGTCGACTCCGACAATTTTTCTTTTCTCTCAATTTACTCTGAGTCATTTTCTGCTCATTTAAAAAAACTATTCAGAATGAGCGTTCACCGACCTGCTAGCTGTTTCAGGCAGAGCAGATTTATTAGCGTTAGGTGATGACTGATAGTTATTTCTCTCTCTGTTCTAAATTGACTCCTGCCTGCCACCCCCACAGCCCGAGCCCCGGCAGCATTCACCGCTGAAGAGCAAGCAACAGAAATAATGAGGAGAGAATAAGAGAGGCTGACGTTGGGCAGAACAATCGCTCAAATAAATGGAAATTGCAGTATTGACTGTTGCGATTTCCTAATTACAAAAACTTCTCGTCGGAGCGCAGGTGTTCCAGCGAGACACTTGAACAAAAACAATCAGCTCCCAAGGCAAATCGCACATTGGTTAAAAAAAACAAAAAACACTTTTTTATTTAATTAAACTGTCATTTTAGTTGTCAGGGGCAGCTTTTTTTCAATCCAAGAAATGTTCAATTGGAAGAAAACATTGAGTTTCTGCAACAACTCTGGAGAAAAAGTTTCTAGAAACACTTGTTGAGGGAAAAACAAGAAAATGTCATGTGATGTGTTGGTGTTGTTCCTATACCTTCATAATTAATGTAACTCCAGGACCGTCGCTGAAACCGACCGGTTATGTTTTTGTTCTCGAGTTTAAAAAAAACACAGCAGAAATACTGAAGCGCAACTCGGAGAGGTTTGCCTCGAGGGATTTCTGGAAGAACGGTTTGAGGAAGTCAAGTGAGGTAGTGTCGACAGCAAAAACGTATGGAGGAGGTGAATAAATGTCTCAAACACGAGGCTTTCACTCAGGAGAGTGGGATTTGTGCCCCGTATGAAACATGAAATCGTTTTAGACTTGTTAGTTACTTACAGCCCCATCGTGTATAAGCTCAGGATTACTGCATTAGGTTGAGTAAAAGATCACGGTTTGGGTTAAAACAAACCCATTTACAACGTTAGCTATGTGTTAGAACGCTGTTCTGGCAGGCAGAACGCCCTGAAAGCAAACTTCTCCCATGTGCGCGTATTGGCAGTCGATTCCGTCTCTATTTTTGCTCTTTTTTTTTCCCTCTAAGCTGCAAAAACTACTTGATATGTCAGCTGCAGTCATGGTTCCTGAAGCAACATTAATTATAACGTAGCATCAACGCAGTAGCATCAGGTCAATTCAAATGTTGAGGCCCGTCGTTCTGTACATTTACCTACAATAAATTTCTTTCTTGTGTTTCTGTCTTGTTCCCTCCCTCCCGTTTCCTCTGCTCTCAGAAGTCAGACGGCATCCCCATTCACCTGAAGCGCGGCGTTCCCGACCGGCTACTGTACCGCACCACCATGGCACTCACCGTAGGAGGCGTCGTTTACTGTCTGGTGGCTCTTTACATCGCAGCCCAGCCCAACAAAAAGTGACCAACCCGGGAACACGTCCGACGTGCCGCCGCTCTAACCGACCCAGCATTCACAGTCTCCATCTGCCCTCGCCACGCCATCTCTTGGGACTCTTTTTCGATGAGATTTACTGCCATCATGGCGCCAAACCATTGATCACAATTCTAATGTCTGTCTTCTTTGAACAAAAGATGTAATAAATTTTAAGGGGAAGAAAGGTAAAAGATGCTTCAAGTCTTTTTTCCTCCATACTGTCTGTTGTGGTACCGAAGTGATCAACCAACAGATGGATGGGCATCATATAGGAAACCAATTATAGAGTAGAGAGCGCCGCCGTCATCTCTCTCGGAGAAGAGGCGGACATGTAAAGATAGTTTTTTTTTTTTTTTTTTCTTCGCTCACAGTTTTCAACAGGCGTGTGTGTGAGAGTGAGCTCCACGGAGACACCCCATCTGGAACATGGCTGCTGCTCACATGGCTTAAATACTGCCTCATGCGGTATTTATATGTGTGGGTCCTGGTGTGATGTCAGATGCTCCTCACCGTCTCATCAGAAGATCGGCTGCCTTTTCCCTCTCGTCTTACTGTACGGTTTTGTCCTTTAGCACCTCATATTTTCAAGCAGGAACACTTGGATGTTTTACCTAAAGGCATCCTAAATATGTGTAAAGATAGTCAATATCTAATTAAGTAGCTGTAGTGAGAAGAAGCAGAAAGTTTACTTGGCATGCAGGGCAGGAGATCCGTTAATGTTCGCATGAAACATCCAAATGAGGTCTGACTTGGTGCCCGGCAGGTTGGTTTAAGTATTTCTGAAACTGTTAACCTCCTGGGATGTTCAGCACGGCAGTCTCTAGAGTGAAGCGAGAACGGTGTGAGAAAAGAAAAAAAGCGCCGTGTGGCTGACCGGTTGGAGCTGACACATAGGCTGCGTTAACTTAGACTGACACGCTTTCTTTTTTATTACAACTGTGGTGAGCAGAGAAGCATTTAGGAACGCGCAGCATGCCCGACAGCAGAGCACCGTGCTGGGCTACGCTCCCGTCAGCCAAGAACAGAAATGTGTGGCCGCATCAGACAGCTGACGACGGACAGAAAAACGTAGCCTGGTTCGAGGAATCTTGATCTGCCGAGGCTGCAGATGGTAGGGCCACAGTTTGGCACCAACAGCTTGAATCCGTGGACCCAAACCTGCTTTGTGTCAACAGTCCAGGCTGGTGGTGGTGGTATCATAGTGTCGGAGGGGAGGGGAGGGGAGGAGGGGTATTTACTTGGCGTAGTTTGAGCCTGAGAATGGTTTAAATGCCACAGATTATTGTTTAGCCGCTTCTTCCAGCAAGAAGTGGCAAAAAGCAAAAGTCTCGCTGCTTTCATGTGCATGGAAATGGGTTCAGTGGACAATTTTTCCTCTTCAGTTACCAGATTTAAATCCAGTAAAACACCTCTGGGAATGTTGGCGACGTCTTGTGAATCAATGGCATCAATAGCTGAGGCTTGTTTCGAGAGCAAAGGAAGGACCTGTCCAGTGGTAGAGCGGCGTTTCTATTAAAGTGCTCAGTTAATGAAAAAAAGCAACAATCCTGTCAGTGGATTCACAAGATTAGAAAACAGTTTATAAAGTACAGAAGGAGATGTGCAATCCTTAAATATATATATAAAAAAAACAATCCGATGTACAAGTGTATCTATGGAAACAGTGGGATAGCTTAGTGAGTATTAAGAACGATATTACCAGCAGCTGTAGAGGCTCAGCCAGCGCTTTAAACCACTGAGGGACTCCAGACAGGAAGCTGACGCGCTATATTACCTGATGAGTCAAAGTCAAACTTCTATTGCTTCACGATGCACACAGTTTCTTTATTTTACATCCAAGTGCGTATTTCCAAATCAGCATCTATACATACGGTAGCTTTCAGCAGTCAGAAACTGGTTTGTCCCCTTCCTGTTGGAAACCCTACCGAGACAGAAAGGTTCCTACCTACAGGTAAAAACTGCCAATCAACACATTTACGTGAGACCAACTCACACCAAATACAGAACAGAGTTTCCTGATCTGCTCCTGCAAGTAGCTTCACTGATGTTGCACCTCTGGTTGCAAAAGGTACATTCAAGGTGGTGTTGCATGTAAACGTGGAGGTTCAGTGTTAAATACAAGGTGCAAACGTTTGTGTAAATACACTCCAGGATTTTATGCATCGATCATATTGTGGTCTTGAGATAAATTGTTGTCTTGAAGGCCATTTGTGCCTTCAACAGTTTGTGTGCAGCCGTGTCTGTGTGAGTGTTTTGTGCGATATTTATCCATTTTGTCACACACCGATCAGACACGACACTAAAACGCTGATGATCTTGTTACAGAGCGATGTTCTGCTGGGAACCTTGAGTCCTGGCCTTCATGTGGATGTCACTGTGACACGTCTCATCCACCTAAACATTGCTGCAGACCAAAGCATAAGCTCAAATATCACATCATTGCTTGTCCACCTGCAAGTCTCCCTGTCTACATTTTAATTTTGGAGTAACATAATGTTCTTTCAACAGCGCCTTAAGTTGAGATTCTTACTCCGTCTGCCGTATATTACACCAAGCATTCATAAATTTCCCCAGGCTGGATTTTCTTTTGTCATCCATTTCCCATTTATTTCTTACGTGCCTCCATTTTTTCTTCTTCTCTTAATGTACTTTCTGACCCGAAGGTATCCGAGAAAATCTCTTTTTCCAGATTATATGCAGCGGAAAAGGTGTTTAAAAGATTCTGAGCCATTATCATCAGCTTAAGGGCTGTAAGCTGTTATACCTTGATGTTCTCAGCGCTCCTTTGTCTACTGATTGTGCTGTGATGAGGCCGGATCACGTGATGCCCGGCGGCTGAAGGCTGGAAACTCTTCCTCCTCCGATTTGCTGCTCTGCTTGTACTGTTTGTTTAAAATAGAAACTGCTTCGGAGGTCAATGCAACAAAGAGGCAATGAAAAGTTAGAGAGCCACACACTTGTATGGCTTTGAACACCTCAGATCAGGCACTTCACCTCAATCCATCCCATAATGTATCGCGCTACGCTGCTGAAAACCGAATAAAAGAGAAGATTTGTAATTTGTAGACATGGCAGGAGCATCACCAAAGAAATGTAAGCTCATGTCTGTGACTTAACCGAAGATTCACCTCTGGGAGTCCGTTGCATGAAGCCTTTACAATGTTCACCAACCACAAACTGAGCCGTCAGCTGATGTTGTGGCTTGTTACTATGGAAACACGGTCCAGTGGTTTACTTTTATTATACCCACTTCTTGATTTTGTGCAGCTGAATTGCTGGCAGTTGACGACTCCGAACGTAAAGCTAAGACTCTGTTACAAGACCAGACTGAGTGAGTCCCAAGTTTTGGCTTGGAAGCATTTAAAATAAAAGATATTAGAGTCCAGAAATGGAATCAAAAGCTTTGAAGATTGATTAAAAAGAAAACTAGCATCTGTTGTTGTAGAAAGTAAAGTCAGTAGGACTTATCGTCTTGGTGCCACAAATGTGTTCCTAAAAAAAAAGCACAATTCCATTTTTAAAGCACTTTCTGCTCGACCACCTCGAATTTGCCTAAAAATTATTGTAGCATAAAATGTGTATATTTATAAAGGTGTTTGTGAAATTTTATCAAAAGCTTTCAGAGATAATTCTTAAAAAAAAAAAAAAAAACTTTGCTGACTTGCTTTCAGCACTTTTTTCTGACATAAAAATTTGATTTGATTTCAAGAACTATTAAAGATAAAAGCAGGAAATTTTCAGCTGTCTCTTGTCATGTCAGTGATTCAGAATGCCGCATTTAAAAATTGCATTTTTCTCACTCGGATTAGGCGAAGATTGTTGTTTTTGTGGCACAACTTGTCATACCCGCTCAAGTATTTCACATTAAAAAGTGTTCTGTATGTTTTGTTCTGGATTATTGTGACATGCAACCACATATGATTCAGATAATATCTCTGGTTGACTTCTGCATTATGCATTTTTTTGTGTAATGTGTGCTCATAGATGAGACTTTTCATATTTCAACTCACCCATCATACGAGTCTGTTTGATGTACTTGTAGATTCTGAATGAAAGGCACAATGAGAAATTTCCTGCTTTTGTCTTAAATCGTTCCTGAAATAGGGCTGCAAAGTGGATCAGTGGTTAGCACCGTCACCTCGCAGCTAGAAGGTCGCTGGTTCGCGTCCCGGTGAGGACACCCGGGATCTTTCTGCGTGGAGTCTCCATGTTCTCCCCGTGCAGCACGGGTTCTCTCCGGGTTCTCCGGCTTCCTCCCACAGTCCAGAAACATGTTGAGGTTAATTGGTGATTGTAAATTGTCCGTAGGTGTGAATGTGAGTGTGCTTGGTTGTCTGTCTCTAAGTGTAGCCCTGTGATAGACTGGTTACCTGTCCAGGTGAACCTGCCTTCACCCTGGGATAGACTCCAGCCCCCCACAACCCTCATGAGGATTAAGTGGTGTATAGATAATGGATGGATGGATGGATAGTTCCTGAAATAGCGAGCAAGTGATCCAACATGGCCTCAATTTGCTAAATAACATCCTTAAAGTGGATCCAAATTAAGTCCCTAAAAACTAGAAAGTATGTAATATATCGAACTTAACTTTCAAAATCTATAATTTATTAGCCAGTGAGTGTTGGTGGAGCAGAAGGTCCCTGTTGACTGAGTAGCCCACAATCATTACATGCACACATTGATTTTTAACCAGAGTCTCCTGATGTCCTGTTTTCCTCGTTAACAAACCCTGTACCTGGAATCCTTCAGCTGCCCCTTCACGCTGACCCTCTGTTTTCCCTCGTCCTCGTCTTGCGTCACAGCAGCCCACTTCAGCTTCCCTCAGTAACGGTGAATCCTTTTGTTGTTGCTCTTCAAGCAGCAGACAGGACAGACACGAGAGCTCTGCAATCACCTGTTTACGACGTGGCAACGCGGCACTCCAACTGTTAATGAAGCGCACACACACACACACACCGGCGGGCAGAGTGTGAAGACAGGAAACTGGGGCAAAAGGAGAGACAACAACACAGAAAGCCAGTGGGATGTGAGGAGGGGGAGGACGAGTGTGAGAAGAAGGCTGTTAAACGGAGGATGGGTGTGACTTGACAGAGGAAAATTGAAAATTGAATCCCTCGTTGAGAAAGCTGTTTACTGTCTATGAAGAACTCATCTATCCTGTCAAACCGCCTTCTGATTGGAGTCGCCCCTC